CTTGCAGCCTTGCAACTGGCACAAACTGTGTAGCCAGCCCATGGCCCTTTAAAGGCTCCGGGGCCGGGAGGGGGGCCATAGAGTTTCCCTGGTGTTGGCCAGAGCGGCCCCCAGGGCCAGCCTTGCAACTGGCACAAACTGTGTAGCCAGCCCGTGGCCCTTTAAGGGCTCCGAGGCCAGGAGGGGGGCAACAGAGTTTCCCTGGTGTTGGCCAGAGTGGCCACCAGGGAAACCTGGGAAGCCTTAGCCTCCCACTAGTTCGAATTAAGGGTCTACACAGCCCTTAATTCGAACTAGCTAGTTCGAACTAGGCTTAATCCTCGTAAAATGAGGTTTACCTAGTTCGAACTAAGCGCTCTGTTAGTTCGAATTAAGTTCGAACTAACGGAGCACTAGTGTAGCGCCTAGGAAAGTTAGTTCAAACTAACGTCTGTTAGTTCGAACTCACTTTGTAGTGTAGACATACCCAGAGTGTGTCTGACATTTGGTTTGTGTGCTGGTGCCCACTGAGCTGCTGGCTGCGCTCTTCCAGCTCTGCTAGTGCTTCCACATGCCTGCCCCGTGAGGTTTCCAACTGTCTAATCGCACAGACCCAAAGACCGTTGCTCCTCCCTCAGCCCTGCCCCTTCTTCAAGGCCTTGTCCTACTGGTCACTCCTTCCCCCCCTTTCTCACTCATTTTCACCAAGATGGGGTGGGACAGAGTGCAGATTCTGGGAGGACATAAGGATTAAGGCAACTTTTAGGAGAAGTCCTGTGCTTGAGCATGAGATTTGGGTAGAGGAAGTGGTCAGTGCTTACCTCAGGTGGCGCCCGAAAGCAACTATCACACCCTTCTGACAGGAGTTCCTAGATGACGGATACAGAGAGTCTCCACCCACCGCTGGCTACTCACAGACACCACCCTCACAGCTCCCATTGGCCACAGTTCCTGGCCCAAGTGAACTGTGGAGTTGGTGTTTGGGGAGGGGGAGCAAATGGATACAGACACATGCACCCCTCAAGTGCCACAGGGACATGCTGGCTGCATCAGGGAGAGATGCAGAGCAAAGGCAGACAGGAAGCTTGCCTTAGCCCTGCTGCGCTGCTGATGGCACTGGTCTAGGACCACCAGGCTCTTTTAAATTGCTCAGACCTCTGAGTAATTAGCCCATTTGCTCCCACCCTTCGGTGGGCCTGCTCACAGTGATGGAGTATCTGTGTATTTCAGACATCTCACCCTCTGCAGTGCATTACTTCCTTTCCTACAGCTTCCTCACCACAGCAGTGCAGAGAACACAATGTACAGGGTGATTCTTAGTATACTCAGGAGGTGCCTTTTAACTACTGAGGGGTATATGCTCTAATGAGGCAGGATCCAATTTCCTACTAACATTACAATTACAGAGTCATAGAAGATGAGGGTTGGAAGAGACCTCAGAAGATCCTCTGATCTAACCCCCTGCTCAAAGCAGGACCAACCCCAAGTGTGAATAGATGTTTTGCATCAGGCATCTTTTTTCCAAAGATACACATGTGAACTTACCTTTAGA